CCATTACATTGGTTAGGTCTCTATTAACACACATCCAGACCATTACATTAGGTTAGGTCTCTATTAACACACATCAGACCATTACATTAGGTTGGGTCTCTATTAACACACATCCAGACCATTACATTAGGTTAGGTCTCTATTAACACACATCCAGACCATTAGGTTGGGTCTCTATTCCCACACATCCAGACCATTACATTGGTTAGGTCTCTATTAGCACACATCTAGACCATAAGATTAGGTTAGGTTAGGTCCTGTTAGCACACATCCAACCATTACATTAGGTTAGGTCTCTATTAGCACACATCAGACCATTACATTAGGTTAGGTCTCTATTAACACACATCCAGACCATTACATTAGGTTGGGTCTCTATTAACACACATCCAGACCATTACATTAGGTTAGGTCTCTATTAACACACATCCAGACCATTACATTAGGTTAGGTCTCTATTAGCACACATCCAGACCATTACATAGGTTAGGTCTCTATTAACACACATCCAGACCATTACATTAGGTTAGGTTAGGTCTCTATTAACACACATCAGACCATTACATTAGGTTGGGTCTCTATTCACACATCAGACCATTCATTAGGTTGGGTCCTATTAACACACATCGAACCATTACATTAGGTTGGTCTCTATTCGCTTCCATTACATTGGTTGGGTCTCTATTAACACATCCAGACCATTACATTAGGGTTGGTCTCTATTAACACACATCCAGACCATGACATTAGGTTAGGTTAGGTCTCTATTAACACACATCCAGACCATTACATTAGGTTGGGTCTCTATTAACACATCAGACCATTACATTAGGTTGGGTCTCTATTAGCACACATCAGACCATTACATTAGGTTAGGTTGTCTCTATTAACACACATCAGACCATTACATTTGGTTGGGTCTCTATTAACACACATCCAGACCATTACATTAGGTTAGGTCTCTATTAACACACATCCAGACCATTACATTGGTTAGGTCTCTATTAACACACTTGGTTGGTTTTATCAGACCATTACATTAGGTTAGGTCTCTGTTAACACACATCTAGACCATTACACGGTTAGGTTAGGTCTCTATTAACACACATCCAGACCATTACATTTGGTTAGGTTGGGTCTCTATTCGCACACATCCAACCATTACATTAGGTTAGGTTGGGTCTCTATTAACACACATCAGACCATTAGATTAGGTTAGGTTGGTCTCTATTAACACACATCAGACCATTACATTAGGTTAGGTCTCTATTAACACACATCCAGACCATTACATTAGGTTGGGTCTCTATAACACACATCCAGACCATTACATTGGGTCTCTATTAACACACATCCGACCATTACATTAGGTTGGTCTCTATTAACACACATCAGACCATTACATTAGGTTGGGTCTTATTAACACACATCAGACCATTACATTGGGTCTCTATTAACACACATCCAGACCATTACATTAGGTCTCTATTAACACACATCCAGACCATTACATTAGGTTAGGTCTCTATTAACACACATCCAGACCATTACATTAGGTTAGGTCTCTATTAACACATCAGACCATTACATTAGGTCTCTATTAACACACATCCAGACCATTACATTAGGTTAGGTCTCTATTAACACACATCAGACCATTACATTAGGTTAGGTCTCTATTAACACACATCAGACCATTACATTAGGTTAGGTCTCTATTAACACATCCAGACCATTACATTAGGTTAGGTCTCTGTTATTACACATCCGACCATTACATTAGGTTAGGTCTCTATTAACACATCCAACCATTACATTGTTGGGTCTCTATTACACATACATCCAGCATTACATTGTGGTCTTACACACATCAGACCATTACATTAGGTCTCTATTAGCACACATCCAGACCATTTCACTAGGACACAGGCGCTGAGTACTGAGCAGTAGCGCCACACCGAGACATCATACATGGGTGCTCATGACTTGGTAATCAGCTGGTGAACACGAGCGACTTTTTTTCCAATAGAGATTTGCATACGTGATTGTCGTGACCTGAGCCTCGTGACGTAAGCGACTGGTCTTGTGCGAGTCTAAATCTGATCATTACTATTGGGTTCCCGTCTTAATAGTGCCTAATCTAATGTGATTATAGCTGATCTAACCGAACCTAACCTAACCTAACCTAACCTAACGTATAAACCAACCCAATTTAACCAAACTTAGCCTTCAGGATTGGGGCCCAGTCCTAGTAGGCCCCAATTCTAATGATTAGGTTGGATTAGCTTGAAGGGGTCTATTTGGACTTTAATCACGACTAATATCCTCATGGTACATTACTTCAAGTATTAAATGAACACCCGTGGGAGCCTTTGTCTGTCTGGTCGTAGTCTCCACAAACGTATATTTTTTGGCTTAATCGCTCTCGCCGGCGCAGTATCTCCAGCACGAGCGTTAGATTTGCTAGTGTTTCTGCTACTCATCAGTGATTCAGATAATCCCGGGCTCCAACACTCTCACTGTTTTGTCTGTTAAATCCGGCACCGGGTAAATCCTACTTTAGATGCGGGAAGGACTCGGGTTGTGCTGCTGCCTCCTGGACCCGGGTTCATGACACTGCTAGTGGAAGGTTCACATGTGGTTCAGGACTTGGGCTCAGGTTTACCTGTGGCTCAGGACTTGGGCTGAGGTTCACACGTGGCTCAGGACTTGGGCTGAGGTTTACACGTGGTTCAGGACTTGGGCTGGGGTTCACGTGGCTCAGGACTTGGGCTGAGGTTTACGTGGTTCAGGACTTGGGCTGAGGTTCATAGGTGGTTCAGGACTTGGGCTGAGGTTCATAGGTGGTTCAGGACTTGGGCTGAGGTTTACACGTGGTTCAGGACTTGGGCTGAGGTTCATAGGTGGTTCAGGACTTGGGGCGGAGGTTTACATGGTTCAGGACTTGGGCTGAGGTTCATAGGTGGTTCAGGACTTGGGCTGAGGTTCATAGGTGGTTCAGGACTTGGGCTGAGGTTTACGTGGTTCAGGACTTGGGCTGAGGTTCATAGGTGGTTCAGGACTTGGGCTGAGGTTCATAGGTGGTTCAGGACTTGGGCTGAGGTTTACCTGTGGCTCAGGACTTGGGCTGAGGTTTACCTGTGGCTCAGGACTTGGGCTGAGTTCATAGGTGGTTCAGGACTTGGGCTGAGGGTTCATAGGTGGTTCAGGACTTGGGCTGAGGTTCATAGGTGGTTCAGGACTTAGGCTGAGGTTCATAGGTGGTTCAGGACTTGGGCTGAGGTTCACATGTGGTTCAGGACTTGGGCTGAGGTTCATGGGTGGTTCAGGACTTGGGCTGAGGTTTTACATGTGGCTCAGGACTTGGGCTGGGTTCATAGGTGGTTCAGGACTTGGGCTGAGGTTCATAGGTGGTTCAGGACTTGGGCTGAGGTTCACATGTGGTTCAGGACTTGGGCTGAGGTTCATAGGTGGTTCAGGACTTGGGCTGAGGTTTACCTGTGGCTCAGGACTTGGGCTGAGGTTCATAGGTGGTTCAGGACTTGGGCTGAGGTTCATAGGTGGTTCAGGACTTGGGCTGAGGTTCATAGGTGGTTCAGGACTTAGGCTGAGGGTTCATAGGTGGTTCAGGACTTGGGCTGAGGGTTCACATGTGGTTCAGGACTTGGGCTGAGGTTCATAGGTGGTTCAGGACTTGGGCTGGGGTTTACATGTGGCTCAGGACTTGGGCTGAGGTTCATAGGTGGTTCAGGACTTAGGCTGAGGTTCATAGGTGGTTCAGGACTTGGGCTGAGGTTCACATGTGGTTCAGGACTTGGGCTGAGGTTCATAGGTGGTTCAGGACTTGGGCTGAGGTTTACCTGTGGCTCAGGACTTGGGCTGAGGTTCATAGGTGGTTCAGGACTTAGGCTGAGGTTTACCTGTGGCTCAGGACTTGGGCTGAGGTTTACCTGTGGCTCAGGACTTGGGCTGAGGTTCATAGGTGGTTCAGGATTGGGCTCTGGGGTTCAGGTGGTTCAGGACTTGGGTGAGGGTTCATAGGTGGTTCAGGACTTGGGCTGAGGTTCAGGTGGTTCAGGACTTGGGCTGAGGTTCATAGGTGGTTCAGGACTTGGGCTGGGGTTCATGGGTGGTTCAGGACTTGGGCTGAGGTTTACCTGTGGCTCAGGACTTGGGCTGAGGTTTACCTGTGGCTCAGGACTTGGGCTGAGGTTTACCTGTGGCTCAGGACTTGGGCTGAGGTTACCTGTGGCTCAGGACTTGGGCTGAGGTTTACCTGTGGCTCAGGACTTGGGCTGAGGTTTACCTGTGGCTCAGGACTTGGGCTGAGGTTACCTGTGGCTCAGGACTTGGGCTGAGGTTTACCTGGCTCAGGACTTGGGCTGAGGTTTACCTGTGGCTCAGGACTTGGGCTGGGGTTTACCTGGCTCGGACTTGGGCTGGGGTTTCCTGGCTCAGGACTTGGGCTGAGGGTTTGCCTGTGGCTCAGGACTTGGGCTGGGGTTTCCTGTGGCTCAGGACTTGGGCTGGGGTTTACCTGTGGCTCAGGACTTGGGCTGAGGTTCCTGTGGCTCAGGACTTGGGCTGAGGTTTACCTGTGGCTCAGGACTTGGGCTGGGGTTTACCTGTGGCTCAGGACTTGGGCTGGGGTTCATAGGTGGTTCAGGACTTGGGCTGAGGTTCATGGGTGGTTCAGGACTTGGGCTGGGGTTCATGGGTGGTTCAGGACGGGCTGAGGGTTCATGGGTGGTTCAGGACTTGGGCTGAGGGTTCATGGGTGGTTCAGGACTTGGGCTGAGGTTCATAGGTGGTTCAGGACTTGGGCTGAGGTTCAGGTGGTTCGGACTGGCTGAGGTTCAAAGGTGGTTCAGGACTTGGGCTGAGGTTCGCAGGTGGTTCAGGACTTGGGCTGAGGTTCATAGGTGGTTCAGGACTTGGGCTGAGGTTTACCTGTGGCTCAGGACTTGGGCTGAGGTTTACCTGTGGCTCAGGACTTGGGCTGAGGTTTACCTGTGGCTCAGGACTTGGGCTGGGGTTCATAGGTGGTTCAGGACTTGGGCTGAGGTTCATAGGTGTTCAGGACTTGGGCTGAGGGTTCACATGTGGTTCAGGACTTGGGCTGAGGTTCAATACACTAATAAGTTATCCAGCCAAATTACATAAGGTCTCAGCATATGTTTCTCAGGTCGAAGTAAGGAAATAATTTACAGGTCGATCGAAGTATTGGTGAATGTTTTGGGGTTTAACTAAAGAATGAAGAATGCCAAGGGGGTGTGTGTGTGGTAGAGGTTTGGGCAGGGAAGAATTTGCTGGGTTATAGTAAGAAAAATGGATTATTGGAAAGTCTTAAATCAGGGTTGAGAGTGTTCTAGGCCACACACTTGTCCTACCTCCTCGGTCTCCCAGTGTTCTGATGCCATGATCTGGGTGGGTCTTCCTTTGGTCTTCTCCTCCTGTCCTCGGGGTCAGGGTCTTAGTGGTCATCCATGGGGAGGTTTTTGTCCGTCATGCAGGTATGTTGACCTCTGCCTCTCCTCCTCCTCCACCGCGCCTCCTCCCTCCTCCCTCCCCCCTCCTCCTCCTCTCCTCCTCCACCGCTCCCTCCTCCACCTCCTCTCCCTTCCTCCTCCTCTCTCTCCTCCACTCTCCTCCCACCGCTCCTCTCCTCCCTCTCCCACCTCCCCCTCCTCCACTGCCCTTCTCCTCCACCGCTCCTTCTCCTCTTCCCCCTCCTCCTTTCTCCACCACTCCAAGGCCTTAGTCACCCCCACCTCCTTGTTACTCCTCTCTGTCCCTGTCTCTTCCTTCTCCTCCTCTTCCCACTTCCCTCTTATTTACTGCTTCTACTCTTCCTCTTCTAAGCTACTGCCTCTCCCTCCTTCTTATTTATTGCCCCTCCTCTTCCTCCTCCTTTACTGCCTCGCCTCGTCCACCATTTATAATAATATATAATAATTATCGGTTTATTGAAAGAACATGACAGCCAAAAGACATAAAATATAATAATATAGATGATGATAAAAGTTACCAAATTGTGGACCGGATCTCTTGATTGACAAGTGATGTTAGTAGTGGTTCAGTACGAGAGTAAACACCCAAGTTAACTACGAGCTGTTGATAATTTTTACAATGGTTATAGTGATGAGTACGTGGTGTGTGATTTTTTTACCATACCGGAATACTTCTCGTTACTTGAGGGAGGTGTGGAGTCATATGCAGACGCTCATGTTGACACGGTTTGTTTGAACTTCGTTATAATAATCGGTACCCTCCTCATGGTAATAGGTGAAGTGATTTTTAAATGTCAGGTTTTAATTAGTAAGGTATCGATAATTGTTGTTGTTCTGGATGTTGTTATTAATTTGTTGTTTTACTAATGTGTTTTATCATTGTTTTTGTTATTATGTTTTTATCATCATTATTGTTATTATTATTATTTTTTGTGTTATTATTGTTTTATTATTATTTGTTATGATTTTTCTTATTAGTGTAGTTGTTGTTGTTGTTGAATCCCCTCAATATCGACATGACTGAGTCTTTTAAACTGAAATTATGTTGACAATTACACTTTGGTATCTGATTCCTTTTAGATATATACGAGTCTCTTTTCTTATGTCTACTGGCCTTAAAACGAAGAGCGGGGCCTCGGGAGTCTTGGGGTTGACGCTGTGATCTCTCGTCGTGTTGATTTGTGTCGAAGATGTGAACGAATAACTTGGGGGTTTGGTGAGAGGTTGGGGTGGGGGTGTGGGGTGGGGGTGTAAGGTGAGGGGAGATGAACTGCTAAAATGGTCCTCGGAGGGTTATAAGGACGACCTGGTAATCCTGGATGATGGAGGATGAACTCAACACCTTTGGATACCCCCGTCTCAGGCACCTCCTCTCCCTTTCCCTCTTCCTCCCTACCCCGTGTGTCCTTGGTCAGGCTGGGTTATGGGTGTTCACGGAGCCGCCCCTGGTGAGAGGTTAAGTAAGTGGTGAGGGGGGCGTGGGACGTGATTGTCATGTCCCAAGGAGAGAGAGAGAGAGAGAGAGAGAGAGAGAGAGAGAGAGAGACTATCTGGGGTGCTACAGGTAAGCAACAGGTAGTCTTGTGCTAGCTGGTGATGTCGGTCGTGGGTGTTGGCCCTGCGTGTAGCCGTTCTGACGAGGACTTTTGTGTTGTCTCTAACAGGTCGACCTGCCTGCCGGAGAGAGAGGCGTGGGGGTGGAGGGACAGGTTGTTGGATGAGGGGGTATTAGGGTGGAGGAGGGGTATTAGGGTGGAGGGGTATTAGGCTGAGGAGGGGTATAGGGGTGGAGGAGGGGTATTAGGGTGGAGGAGGGGGGTATTAGGGGTGGAGGAGGGGTATGGGTGGAGGGAGTGGATATAGGGTGGAGGAGGGGTATTAGGTTGGGGAGTGGATATTAGGTGGAGAAGGGAGTATTAGGTTGGGGTAGGGTTTTTACAGCATGATAATTTTAAAATGACGTCAGGATTGCATAGCGACTACTAAAAAAGATGATGTTTACTCCGCCCTTATACAGTGCTGTGTGGGCGGTGTTAGTGTATTGGTCGACTCCCTTGTGTGGGCGGCATGATAATATTGTATGGGATCGTGGGTGAGAATTTTGGTCATCGTAACTGTAAGACTGGTGTAGAGGGTTGACTGGGTAGGTAGAGTGGTTGACTGGTGTAGGTAGAGTGGTTGACTGGTGTAGGTAGAGTGGTTGACTGGTGTAGGTAGAGTGGTTGACTGGAGTAAGTAAACTGTAGGACATCACGAAGACACGGGTGCCAGGTTCGATGCTCGTCCCTCTGAAGTGAAGATCATATACCCGAGTCAGGTTAATGATGAGTTTGTTAGTCAATTATCAAACCCTAATTTAGGCTGTAGTTGACTCAATATCCAGAGGGTGGGGGAGGTTGAGTACAGTGAACCCTCCTTATAACGGAATTCTCCCCCCATATAATCCGTTAGATAAAGGGTTTCACATTTAACGGATCCTCAATATAACTGAATTTCTCCACATCCTCCCATTCCTCCACCCTCCCCCATCTACTATCTCCAGGTTGTTGTGGCGTGGCAGTAAGAGCGACAGAACAGCGTGGGAGGTGAAGCATCCAGCCACCATAGTGTTGTTCTGGGTGTCTCCAAACACAGTGGTGAGAGGTAAATGGGTGAGACACATTCCTCACACCTCCTCACCCCATATTCTCGTTTGTTTACATTATCCTCCTCACTGGATCATGTGTCGCTACCGCCAAAATAACACACTCACTCACTCACTCACTCCTCAACTCACACACTTACCTCCCCCACTGTGTCATCGTCACAGTACATACACTAACCTAACTTCCAACCTAACCTACCCTACCCTACCCTACCCCACTCCTACCCTACTCCTACCCTAACCTACCCTACCCTACCCTACCCTACCCTAACCTGACCTACCCTACCCTACCCCTCTACCCTACCCTAACTCAACCTACTACCCTACCCTACCCTACCCTACCCTACCTACTCCCTACCCTACCCTACCCTACCCTACCTGTTGATGTGACCAACTTACCGTCAATACCTGCCTTGATCTGCATCTTTAAAATAAGTTAATCTCAGATAACCTCACGTTGAATATTTTCCCGAACTGTTAACGCCAGAACGTATCTAACTGGCTCACTAAGTTAAAGACACAGAGATGGATTCTCTAACAGTCTTAAGGAAAATAAATGAGACTATACTTATTGTTAGAGGTCTCATACAGCCAGCCCACCCCTTGAGTTATATCCCAGAGAGGCGGATCACTGGCTCAGCTCACAGGGCCATCCACACCCGGCTTGACGCTGTTGACATGAATCCTGAAGGTAAAGACCAAATAGGGTGATTTTTCGCTTAGTACCGCCGGCCCGTGGGGGGGTTGAGTCCTGGTCGTTAACACTGGAGTAGAAGACAGGATTGTTTCTGTGTGTCTGTTACTTTCTGTCTGTCTCTGCGTCTGTCATTTTCTGTCTGTTTGCGTTTGTCACTTTCTGTCTCTGCGTCTGTCAATTTGGTTGTGCGTCTGTCACTTTCTGTCTGTTTGCGTCTGTCACTTTCTATCTCTGCGTCTGTCACTTTTCTGTCTGTCTGTCCTTTGTTGTCCGTCACCGTTTATTACTCAGAAACCATTTGAGGTTTTCGGCTCCGTTTAATCTACCCACTCTGAGGCTTCGGAACGCGGCGACCGACTAGATGAAGCACTCGACTGCCATCCTAAAGGTCCTTGGTTCGATCCCAGGGTACTCTCAGGTCAGGTGAGTTAAGGTGGTCGAGTACAGTGCCGGCCTCTCTGCCTCCTTGTGTACTGAGAGTCTATGGGACCGTCTTTCACTTTTATAGAAGCGTTTACTGACCTGACTGATACTGTTTTTTACACAAGATTACCCTTGGGACTGACACCAACATAACAATAGAACAACCTTTATATGTGTGTGTGTGTGTGTGTGTGTGTGTGTGTGTGCCCTCACACCACCACATCTGTCTTATGAATCATGAACTAAAAAAGATTTTTTTTGGAGGGAAGGGTAGGGAGGAGGGAAGGGAAGGGGGAGGTAGAGAGGGAGGTTATGTTTTTAGGGTTATGTTGTGTCTACCCGACGGCTCCTTCCCCACTGGATGATGACAGTAAAAAATGCATAATAAAAAAAGAAGACGACATTTACTGATGTTGTAAATAGAAAATTCCTCTTGTGTGTGTGTGTGTGTGTGTGTGTGTGTGTGTGTGTGTGTGTGTGTGTGTGAAGATGGAGGAGGAAATCTTGTGTGTACTAGTTTTATTTCTGCACACCTCTGATTACCTGGAGATTACACACCTCAGCGTAACTCACCTGATGATTAAACACCCTAACGTTACCTGGGGGTGTTAGGTTAGGTTATGTTAAGTTAGGTTATCTTAAGTTAGGTTAAGTTGTTTAATCGAGTTAAGTTGGGGTGTGTAATCTTCAGGTGATCCCACTACAAGTGTATTTAATTAGTGACTG